ATTAGCAAACATTTTTTTCTGTAGTTTGAGTAGATTATATATTGTAAATAGATAGTTTTCGGTTCAAGCTAGTACTTATTTGTACTGGAATTCTAGATCCACTGTTTAACTTTTTTTAAAAATATTTTCTTGCTTTCACTGCTTACCTATTATACAAACCGAATTAACTTTTGAATATATGTCATTAAAATTTCATGCCTTTGCTAAAAAAGTTTCTTTTTTCTAATTGATTAGACATTATAATTTAAAAAAATTTGTTTATTAAATACAAAATTTTCTAATAAAATGGTTGTGCATAATTCTAAAGAGTAGTTAAAGTTCGACAATAATTAAATTATTTTGTCAGATTTCATTTATAGATGTATGAACGTAACTTGAGAAACCATAAAAATTTAAATTCGCATCGTTTACATTGAATGTGCAAAATTTAAAACTGAAAATGTGACATTTTGAAAGTTCCAATTTACAGTTTTTATAAATCGACCGGAGACTCTGCCAATTTCTCTCCGCTCGGTTTAAACACGATTCTGCCCGAAAAGGGTCTATAGCACAGATAGTCGAGGGTTTATCGCATGGGGTGGGTTTATCTAAAAGAGACGCTGCTGTCAAGGGGACTCCGCCGCCCTTTGAGGTCAACTGTTCACCCCTATTTTCCCGTTTTTATTCTCCTCCGACCAGCCGGAAAGCAGGGAATAGAAAAAACATTAGACCACCAGCCAACCGACTTAAAAAAAGGTTAATTTATTTCAAATTTTTTACCAAGACAATAATACTGCTATGGAACTTTTTTCTCGTACCTAAATCTTAATTAATTCACTACTGAAGATAATCTTTCCCTAAGTGGTTTTTAAATATTCAAATTAAAGTATAATGAAATTTTATTTTTTCTTCCATTAATACGTTAACATAAGTTAACTTAATGATGTAAAGCGGGGAACACACTTACCCGATGCAACGCTATGCGACGCTACCCGATGCGACCCGACGCCTCGTCACGTTTTGGTAGTGTGTGCACATCTATGCGACGTCAAGCGCATGCCACGTACAGTCACACAATCGCAACGCCTTTTTTGTTCTTAATGCACTATTTTGAGCAAAATCATGCATTAAATTGACAGTTAAATTTTATGAGCACAACCATGTAATAAATTGTTAGTTAAATTTTATGAGCACAACCATGTAATAAATTGTTAGTTAAATTTTATGAGCACAACCATGTAATAAATTGTTTGTTAAATTTAATTGTTTTAAATAAACTTATTCCGACGTTTTGATACATTTTCTTCCTAACCATCAAACATAAATTTTATAAATATATATAAACATAAAACAGCGAAATCTCACTGGCACTCTCGACACGACACGCAAGAATGGCACAATTACACAGAAGACAAACACTTTGAGTGAGTAGAAATACTTTGATTGAATATTTTAAAAAAATATATTTTGCATTGTATAAATTCACTTTTCCACATCCTAAATGTATTTCTTAAACGTAAACAATGTTTGTAAATCCCAGGCCCTGAAGATGATCTCAATAAAGATCGAAACGTTGGCACGATAATGAATATGTTTTTCTAAAACCTACATCACACCAGACCGCATCTCACGATTTCTGAATAATTATCGATTAACGGTCACTAATCACCACACATTTCTACTAAACCATTAAAATTATTATTATTCTTTTTAATAAAAACTAATGCATTTTTTGATCTCGGTAAATTTGTTTTATATTAAAATAACTATGTTGTAATTAATATAACAACAATAATGTAGTTTGAAATAAAAATATGAGTGTCCGGTTCTTTTGTCTTTCACTGTACCCGATGCTACCCGACGAAAATCTGGACAGTGGGGATCGCGTAGCGTAGAGTAGGGTAGCGTTTCGGACAGATGTGCACAGGGGTTAATACAATCTTAGGGGAAATTGGACTTTGGATGTTCGTCGGGTAGCATCGGGTAGCGCCGCATAGCGTTGCGTCGGGTAAGTGAGTCCCCGGCTTAAAGTTGAACGACTAGCTGTTATTTAACAACAGATTTGGTAAATCCTTTTTAAAAAGATAGTTCTAGAGTAGGAACTATCTTTTTAAAAAGGATTGAACACCGAACTCACTGCACCATTCATCAATTCTATATGTTTGGTAGGATCTGGGATGTGGCCCGAAGAATGTTCTGGTCTTGAAACTTCGCCAAGCTTTCGGCTGTTTCATTTCACCATCCTCAGGGCTCTACGACGGATACATATACTTATATATATAATTTTTTAAATTGCTCATGTGTGTAAGTGGAAATTAAAAATCAACTTGCTTTTCCAAATTGCAGATTCTCTGTCAGCGTTTAAATTTGTTTTTTCTTTTCAACATGCATAAATATTTTTTCATTCTTCAATTGACATTTCTTATACTGAGTACGACGTTTTGATAAAACATTGCCATGAAAAAACTTACAAATTCAATTTTGACGGGGTAAAAATAATGACACACGAACTTCTCCTTGGCCGTAGGCTCATGAGACAGATGATTTATGGATCAAAATACATGCAACTTACAATCAGACATCAATGGTTTAAGTTCGATTTACAGTTGGGTTTAAACAACCAAATAAATATTGGGTTGTCCGGAAAATAATGCAGGATTTTAAGTTTTCATTAAAAAAAATCTATATAAAATATTCTGTTTACGTTTACAGGATTACTCATTTGTATGNATTATTTTGATTAAAGAACATTGCTTTAAAGTAACTAGTTTCTTTTTTTTTGTTTAATACCAAAATCCTGCATTATTTTCCGGACAACCCAATAACTGAAATGAAATAATCTATGTAAAATGTAATGTTGTTTATTTGTTTAATTTGTACAATTGTTTTAGTAGATTAGAGAAATCATAGGTTATAGTTTTAATTATTTATTGATTACAAATGTAAAATAAGGCTTTTATTAACAAGTCCCAGGGGCTTCGATGGCCGCAACGGTTTGACACGCTCATCTCTGTAAGGTAAATGTCCCGGGTTCGAATCCAGCGGCCCTGCATTCGAACCCGACTTACACAAGGTACAAATGGGCTTTCACCCTGAGGTTTTATATGACCACTACTATTACGAACCCTCGTAAAAAAAGTCCCAACCGTGGACAGATAAAACAAGACCTGATAATAACCTACTCTAACCTGTTTGTTTACTATAATTAATTAAGGTTTTTAGTTGAGATAAAAAAGTCAATGGCACGAGCGGGATTCGAACCCACGATCTTCGGCTAGATACGCCGCTGCTCTACCACTTGAGCTCTCTTGACCTCGATCCACTCGGACACTAACTTCCCATCTCAACCCCACCTTATGAGTTTTCCCTCCTTTTGCCATTTTTCAAATGTCGTGTAATCGGATTGGATTCTCGACGACAAATGAAATGGCCACGGAGAGCTTCAGTAAAGTATACTTCATTTTAATTCATTAAATTCACTAATTTCGTGGTCCGCTTGACTAATTAATATATTATAATTAATTAAGGTTTTTATTTGAGATAGAAAGCCAATGGCACGAGCGGGACCTTAATTAATTATAATATATTAATTGGTCAAGCCGACCACGAAATTAGTGAATTTAACTTTTTGTTTACGTTGATTTTATTTGTCATAATAGTTTGTAATAAGTGCCATTTATTTATTGAAAACATTGTACTCAGTAAAAGAAATGTCAAAAAGAGTGAAAAAAATATTTAAACATGTTGAAAATAAAAAACAATTTTAAACACTGACAAAGAATCTGTAAATTGGAAAAGCATGTTTATTTTGGATTTTCCCTTACACACATGAGCAATTATAAAATCTTATATGTATATATATCTATTGTAGAGGCCTGAGGAAGGTGAAATACACCAGAACGTCTTTAGACCACATCCCCGATCCTACCAAATAGATTGTTGATAAGTTAACTTAATTTACACCCATAAGTATATAATATAGAAACCTCAAAGGTAAAATTGATTATAGAATGATTTTAAACTAAAGATATAAGATTTTAAATATATCAAACCTAATCCTTTTTAGCAAGTGAGTGGGTGTGGAATTAAATGTAATTGAACAAAGTTACAAAGGGCAGAAATACTAGAAAATCTCATTTGCAAAATAGGGGCATGACCTTTTATGTAGATCTGAAAAGTATTTATATCAGAAAAATAAATAACAGGTTAATTTTTGTATCCAACCTATTACAATTTGAGAGAATGATATATAAAAACCATTATTTTATATTTATATCAAAATTTGACTTTTTTCCATAAAAAACTCGTATTTTATTATAACTGAAGCTATAATTGTGAGAATTATAAGATCTTTACATTACGCAAAAGGTTTAATATGAGGGGGGGGTGGCCTCAACAGTTTAGGCGTTGACACGGCGCTCATCACTGTAAGGTAAAGGTCCCGGGTTCGGATCCAGCGGCCCTGCCTTCCAACCCGACATACTTAAAAAAAAAAAATTCAAAAAAACAGCGGTACCCCGAGGGTTCATATAACCTCGTAGTTGAAATACCCTCGTAAAAAATATTTAAAAAAAAGATTTAAATATTTAGAAATAATTTCAAAGATCTAGATGAACGGGATATATCTGTCAAAAGTTTCACGAGGAAACTGATTGTGATTGTTTTTTGTTTTTTCTGTATTCCAAAATCGCTTTATCCCTGACATTTTTTTATACGTAATTAACTTTCTAATTCATTGTTGATTTATTGTTTTTTAAATGTACTTATGAAGTGCCTCAGAGTGGCTTAAAATGCATTTACAGTAAAATGAATATGTAAAAATAAGTTTAAAAAAAAAAATAATCGAGTACCCATTAAATACAACTAGATTATAAATTAATATATTTTTATTGATTCAAAAACTACTAAAAAAACCTCTTTGTAACTTATGTTTTTTCTTTGTTTTAGTTGTTTACTTTTACTAAGTTTAATAGGGATATTTTTTTGCGAAGAAAAACAAACATTCTATTTTTCTTTTCCAGAAACCTGCTGGAGGGACGCTGTTCAGTCTGAGATCCAGAAGACAGGAAGAGTGCTATTTTGCCGTGGAAGTGGCCGGGCAGGATGCCATTAAGTTGGTCCATTCGGGTCCTAATGGCACTCAATCCGTTCTCATCCCTGCACTGCTCGCTGACGGAAAGTGGCATCGCTTAGCACTGGGGTGAGTGGAATTTATCAAATAATAAACCGCCCGTACAAGCCGAAAAACACCCTCGCTAAAAAGAACTCTTCGTGTTAAGTGCGCCCAGAGGGGCTGTGTATTAACCGGTTACGAATGGTACCGGGATAGGGGAAAACGAGGATACAGAACAGTTTTATCATTAGTAATAACCTCGGATTATTAAAGTGGATTATGGACGATTGTGAGCATTGCGAGAATTATGCCGTTCTATTGTTATTTTTGCAATCCGCCTGAGTACAATCCTAACCATATTCCATACTTCCAAATACTTATTAACGTAGCTCTGTTAATCACAAGTTATTTGTATCAACTTGAAATGTGTTTTTCATTCGAAACTTTAATAAAAATTGCTTTTGCTTTTAAACATTATTGACATTAGTAAAGTACAAGAAATACGTATGCCTTTTAATATAATACGTCTATCAATTTTTTATGTTAATAAGCAGGTTGATTATTATGCTATTAAGGTGGTAGTCAAATTTGAATGCAATTTTTTAACTCTTGTAGGTGAAATATGAGATATATTTATTACTGAAAAGTATCACGTTTATCTCAATATATCAACTTTGCATACCGTCGGCACCTTGTAGATAGATGTTTTAGTCGTGGTGTGTATTATACTGCGCCCTTCAATAGCTATTGTATACCGCGTTCTGTGCTTTTTCTATTTCATCATGGAACTTGAATAGAATGCTCGGTTACAGTGGTTGATTTCTTCTACGGCTGTTCTACTGGCACCAAGTTTGTTAGTAGGTGTGTTGGTGTTTGTTGGTGTTTTCTTTGCTTCCTGGCACAATCTGTACGTGTCGTCTAGATGCCAATACTTTTCAGACATCCATTTAGTTTTCAGTTAGGAATTGCAGTTTTTCCTGCTTTCTTTAATCCATTCTGTTACCTCTTTCTTTCCAGTCTTTGTTAGGAGGTTGTTGGATTGTTTGTTTCCAATGAGTAAGTCCCATTGTTCCCTCATTTTCTTTTATCTTTCTCTCTGGGGTGTATCATAGTGTGGATTAGCAATTGCCACAGAAAGTCTCGGGTCCTATCAGCGATTTAGCAATGTATCTTGTTCTAATCTCAACGGATGATTGGATCAGCAATATCATTTTTACGAATTACTACCTTTAGATATATTCATTCTAATGTAACGGATATCATATTAGAAAGTTATGTTTTTTTTAAGCCACTGAAAGGTTGTAACAATATTACCAACATGCATCTCCATACCAGCATCCTTGCCTACCTGAGGACGTAGCAATGTTACCCATTTACACCTCAGCATAAGTCGCTAAATGAGTAGGTAGCAATATTAGCAACATACACCTCAGAATACTTGCCTACATGAAGAGGTAGCAATGTAACCAACTTACACTTTAGCATACTTGCCTACCTGAGAAGGAAGCATTATTATTAACATACACTTCAGCTAACTTGCCTACTTGAGGAGGTAGCAATGTCACCAACTTACACATGTGCTGACTTCCCTACTTGAGGAAGTAGAAATGTTACCACTTGAACATCAGCATATGGCCCTACCTGAGTATTTAACAACATTAGCAAATTACACCTCAACACACTTGCCTACCTGAGAAGGTAGCATTATTACCAATACACACTTCAGCTAACTTGCCTACCCGTGTACGTAACATTATTATCAACATACACTTCAGCTTACTTTTCTACTTGAGGAGGTAGCAATGTTACCAACCTACACTACTGCATACTTGCCTACCTCAGGACGTAGAAATGTTACCAACCTTACACCTCAGCATATGGCCCTACCTGAGTAGTTAGCAATATTACCAAATTACACCTCAACACACTTGCCTACCTGAGAAGGTAGCATTATTACCAACACACTCTTCAGCTAACTTGTAGCTTTATTATCAATACACTTACTTTCCTACTAAGCTTGCTTTCCTACTTGAGGAGGTAGCAATGTTACCAATCTACATCTGCATACTTGCCTACCTGTGGAGGTAGCAATGTTACCAGCTTACACCTCAGCATGATTGCCTTGTAATATAATTTTCAAACAAAATCATCTGCAATGAATGTTGCATTTTAAAAGAACGGATCTAATTATTCATTCTTAACATTCATTACAATTTTCTGATACTCCAATCGCAAAGATCCATATATTTTACTTAATTTCTACAGAATTATTTACAAATTATTAAAATTATTTCAATGACAATCTACATTGGGGCACTTTGTAAGGCATTATTTAATTAAAATTTAATTACGGTCCGGTCTATTTTTCCCCCTCCTGAAAAGTATAGAAATTCGTCACATTATTCGTACCACGGCTATTTAATTGTATAAATACACAAGGTGTTGAATTTCTATTTTACCCGACAAAATCACTTATCGATAAATATTTTTTATTCCACGATAATATTTCTCGAGTAGCAGGAGTATTTATAATAGTTGACACGACACAAAATAAATAGTCGTTATATTTCTTATATATTGTTTTTTTGTGATGTCTTAATCATGATGTTATCTGGATTTTGCTCCTATTGCAAATTTCCGGTATCTTGTGTCTCTGGATTTACAGAATAATCCACGATCCTCATAATGGCATTATCGACTACGGGATACGATCGAATTCCATTTAACCATGTTTGCCAATTAAGACTAAAAGCGGTTGCCGCAGCCACTTGTAAGGAATAAAGCTCTCTAATCTAATCAACCATTGCTATCTCGCCATCGTCAAATAATTATCACGTTGGCAAGCGTGTCAACAGCGCTTTCATCATCCTCAAGTAGTGCGGTACATTTCGGAAATGGCAAATCTCAAAGCTCTGTTGGAGAAGTAAGGCATAAATGAGCACTCCAGAGGGCAAAACGAACGGTTCGAAATTACAGCTGACAATTCTGGGGACAATTTATGTGAAAAGTACCCTGCGTGTTGCAAATCCTTTGAAGAAAGTATCATCAGGATTAAATTTATCTTTCTGACTGTACTAAAAGTTTTATTCATTTCTTTTTATCAGACAGAAGAACGGGGTGAATGCTCTTGTGCATAAATAAGAATTTCTTATAAAATGTTAGGAATACAGTTTGAAAAGCTGAAAGTTAAAATCATAACTTACAAAAAAAAAAGATTTTAATTTTAAGGCACAAAGGAAGCACAATGAATATACCAATACCCAATGATGAACGGGTGGTTAAATATTAAGTTGACATCACTGTACTTTACGATAGTCACACCCATATGCAAGTTATAAGTGATGACCAAAAATGGAAAAACACAAACAAAAAAGGAAGGAAACGGAACGATTAGAAGAATTCCAATGAACATCATACCTTATTATTAGAGCTTTTTAAACTCACATCTGCAATACGATTCAACCTCTAACTGACACCCAGATTTATACATCGTATATTTCAAGTTCACTAGTTTTCGTGGTACGCTTGACCAATTAATATCTTTCAAACAATTAAGGTTTTTAGATGAGATAAAAAAGTCAGCATCACGAGCGGGATTCGAACCCACGCTCTACCACTTGAGCTATCATGACTTCGATCCACTCCAACTTTCCATCTCAACCCCACCTTTTGAATTTTCCCTCCTTTTTGCCATTTGTCAAATGTCGTGTAATCTATTTGATTCTCGGCGACACATGAAATGGCCACTGAGAGCTTCAGTGAAGATATACTTCATTTAACTTATTAAATTCACTAGTTTTCGTAGTCCGCTTTACTAATTAATATCGTTCAGTTAATTAAGGTTTTTAGTTTATATAAAAAAGTCAGCGTCACGAGCGGGATTCGAACCCACGACCTTCGGCTAGATACGCCGCTGCTCTACCACTTGAGCTATCGTGACTTCATCCACTCGGACTTCCCATCTCAACCCCACCTTTTGAATTTTCCCTCCTTTGTGCCATTTTTCATTCTATATACATACATATACTACATATCACGTACTATATACCATACATCACATAACACTTACAACATACCATATACCACATACAATATACTATATACCAATACAATGCACCACATACCAGATACTATATACCATATACCACATACCATATACCAAATGCAATACGACATACCATATGTCATATACTATATAACAATACAATGCATCACATACCATATACTATATATCATGTACCACACACCATCTATTATATATCATATACCACATACCATATACTATATACCATATACTATATACTATATACTATATACTATATACTATATACTATATACCACATACCATATACGATATACCATATATCATATACAATACTATATACCAATACAATGCACCACTTACCATATACTATATACCATATACCACACACCATCTACTTTCTGCCATATACCACATACCATATACTATATACCATACATCACATACCACTTACAACATACCATATACCCCATACAATATACTATATACCAATACAATGCACCACATACCATACACCAAATACAATACGACATACCATATATCATATACTATATAACAATACAATATACTACATACTATATACCATATACCACACACCATCTATTATATACCACATACCATACACTTTATACCATATACCACATACCATATACCGTATACTATATATCATATACTATATACCACATACCATATACCACATACCAGATACAACATACCATATGCGATAACCATATATCATATACTATATACCAATACAATGCACCAAATACCATATACTATATACCATATACCACACACCATCTACAATATACCATATACCACACACCATCTACTATATACCATATACCACACACACACCATACACTATAAGCATATACAAAATACCATATAATAAATACCATATGCTATATACTATATATATTCTATATTCTATACACCATATACCACACACCATGGACCATATGGTATATACCACATAGCATGTATTACCATATACCACCCACCGTCCAATGTACCACATACTATATACCACCCACCATATACT